GCTCTCCCCACCACCTTCAGATGCCAACTGCAAGTGCCAGGCTGTGCCTCTGACCAACTGGCTATAAATCCGGGATTCCAGGGTCTCCTCTTTGGGTTCAATTAATTTGCCAGAGCAGCTCACAGAACTCAGGGAAATACTTACCTACATTTCTTGGTTTATTACAAAGGATATTACAAAGGTTACAGATGAAGAGGTGCCTAGAGTGAGGTATGGGCAAGGAGTCAATGCCCTCCCAGGACATGCCCCACCCCCCGTAGCCTCTATATCTTCAGTTACCTAAAGGTCTCCAAACCCAGTCCTTTTGGGTTAGTTTTTAATGGAGGCTTCATTATGTAGGCCTGATTGACTAAATCATTAGCCACTGGTGATCAACTTAACCTTCAGCCCCTCTCCTCTCCAGGGAAGTTGGGGGTTAGGGCTGAAAGTCCCAACCCTCTGATCATGCCTTGGTCTTTCCAGTGACCAGCCCTGTCCTGAAGCTACCTAGGGACTGCCAGCCACCAGCTGACTCATTAGCATAAAAAGATATCACTTTGGAGACTTTAAGGATTTTAGGAGTTGTATGCCAAAAAACGAGTTTGAACATATACTTCACAATATCACACCGACCTTGGAGAAATGAAGCTGAAAACAGCATAGGCTGAGGCCATCCATGGTGGGGAACGCCCAGGCTGAGGATGAGACGAGGGAGTGAGGGCAGAGGCTGAGCGGCTCCGGAGCTGAGTCAACAAATGAGCTGCTAAAAGTGACCAGAGATTAATGCAAGAATCAGAATCTGTGACACAGTCTCAGATCTGGCTGAAAGGCCTTGATGGGGAAGCAGGACGAAGAGACTAGGATGTATATGTCAGAGGTGGGTTACAAGGAGACCTCTTCCCTGCAGGGCTGACTCAGAGAAACCTAGGTTGCTGGTACTCTGAGCCCAGCCTGAGGCAGAAATTTCCATTGTAGCTACCTGCAGTTGTAAATTTAGCTTACTGATCCAGACTAGTCCTCAGTGACATTGTAAGTAAGGGTGGTTACATCTCCTTTTTGTTCTGTGAAAGGAAAATAAAAATCTCAGGGCCCCAAACTCATTAAGTCAAAGGGAAAAGCTTGGGAACTGAGTCATGCAAAGACTGCCTTCCTTTTGTTCCTAAGTAGATAGCTACAAAGATAGAAGGCCACAAACCTTCCTAGGGGACCTTCCACGTGATTTGCCCACGAAGAAATTCCATGTAGGTCCCTAGATCTTTAGCCTAAAACAGTTCTGTTGAATTTCACCCTGACAATGTGAATTCACAGCTCATCTTCATAGGTCAAGGACAAAGACAGGACTAGATCCTCCCTCCACTCACTAGAGACAAATGCATGTTTGGCTGCGTCCTGTACCCTGTGATTACTTTATCTAATATAAAACTGCAGATTCACTGAGACAAATGCATAATTGACTGGCCTTCTACCTCCTCCTTTCAGATGTAAAATGTGCATTCAGTGAAAGCTGATCAAAGTCTCAAAAGAATGCAACTGCTCTCCTTCTATCTACCCGCCCATTTTTTCTTTCCTCTTTCCCCCACTGCCACTCTTTCTCCTTTCAATATTGACGTCTCCAGACCCTTTTTGAAAAAAGTGCAGATCACAGAGGTTCCCGTGATGTTGTGTTCTTTATCCCCCTCGAGTGTGTCTTCAACCTTGGCAAAATAAACCTGTAAAATGATTGAGACTCACCTTGGTCATTTTCTTTTATTTAGAGTTCTTTTGTACCTCTCACTTTCCTCCCACCATACTAGGCAAACAGGCTCCACCCCCTTAAATTCTGTACTCTAAGGACACACTTTTTTTTTTTTTTTAGACGGAGTTTCACTCTTGTTGCGCAGGCTGGAGGGCAATAGCTCGATCTCGACTCACTGCAACCTCCACCTCCTGGGTTCAAGTGATTCTCCTGCCTCAGCCTCCCTAGTAGCTGGGATTACAGGCATGCGCCACCACACCTGGCTAATTTTGTATTTTTAGTAGAGACGGGGTTTCACCATATTGGCCAGGCTGGTCTTGAACTCCTGACCTCAGATGATCCACCCACCTTGGCCTCCCAAAGTGCCGGGATTACAGGCATGAGCCACTGCGCCCAGGCTATAATCTCTTTTTTTTTTTTTTAAGAGACAGTGCCCTGCTCTGTTATCCAGGAAGGAGCGTGGTGTCATGATCATGGATTACTGCAAATTTGAACTCCTGGGCTCAAGTGATCCTCCTGCCTCAGCCTCCCAAAGTGCTGGGATTACAGGTGTGAGCCACTGCACCTGGCCCCAAGGAAATACTTTAATACCAATCAATGAAGCCCTTTTTCTGATGAAAAGCTCTTTCAAGAATGTTTACATGGAGCCACAGACTTTTCCTGGTTGTAAAGAACCTAAAGATTATAGATTTAAAAATTAAAAGATATTCAGGCCAGGTGCGGTGACTCACACCTGTAATCCCGGCACTTTGGAAGGCCGAGGTGGGTGGATCATGAGGTCAGGAAATCAAGACCATCCTGGCTAACACATTGAAATGCTGTCTCCACTAAAAATACAAAAAATTAGCCTGGCATGGTGGCGGGTGCCTGTAGTCCCAGCTACTCGGGAGGCTGAGTCAGGAGAATGGCATGAACCTGGGAGGCGGAGCTTGCAGTGAGCCGAGTTCACGCCACTTCTCTCCAGCCTGACAGAGTGAGACTCAGTCTCGAAAAAAAAAATTAAAAGATATTCCAAAATTATCATGGTTTATCTTTGCAGAATCCCTGACAGGGAGTTATATAGCCTATCCTTGAACACCTCCCTTGACAAGGTGCTCCTACAGAGCTAATTATTGCACACACATGTGACAAGTAATTTACATGTGCATTTCATTTAATCCTCATAATACCCTTCTGAAGTGGCGACCATGATCACCGTTTTTTGGACAAAGAAGTTATGGCTCAGAGAGATTAAAATCCTTGCCCAAGGCCATATAACCAGGAAGTAAAAAACATAACTTACTTTAGGAACACAGGTTCATCTTGTTCCAGAGGCTGTGCTGTTTCCACTCTGGGGCAGGTGGCCCAAGATTCACCGGGCTCATGGTATATACTGTTGGTAAAATGAGTCAAACTCTGTAAAACATTCGAAGAGGTTTATTCCGAGCCAAACATGAGTGACTAATGGCCCATGATACCGTCCTCAGGAGGTCTTGAGGACGTGTACCCAAGGTGGTCAGGGTCCAGTTTGCTTTTATACATTTAGGGACACACAAGGCATCAATCAATACATATAACATATACATTGGTTCGGTCTGGAAGGGCAGGACAACTGGAGGGAGGGGGGCTTCCAAGTCATAGATAGATTCAAAGGTTTTCTGACAGTTGGTTGAAAGAGTTATCAGTAGAAAGGAATGCCTGGGTTACGATAAGGGGTTGTGGAGACCAAGGTTTGATCAGGCACATGAAGCCTTCGGGTAGCTGGCTTCAGAGAGAATAGATTGTAAATATCTCTCATCAGACTTGAGAGTCTGTTCTATCAGCAATTCCAAAAGGGGGAGGGAATGTAGAGACATGTCCAGCTCCCGCTTCCCATCATTGCCTGAATTAGTTTTTCAGGTTAACTTTGAATGACCTTGGCTGAGAGGAGGGCTCCATTCAGATGGCTGGGGGGCCTTAGAATTTTATTTTTGTTTTACAACACTCACCTTTTTCCGGTTGTTCAATCAAGCATAAATCTGGGTACTGCTGTGACAGGATTTTCCAGATGCAGTTAAGTTTCCAAGACCTTCAGATAGGGAGATGATCTCATTGGCCTCCCCTAATTACATGAGCCCTTCTGAAGAAGAGGATTTCTCCACACTTGGACAGAAAGGATATTCGAGTTTGGAAGCAGTAGAGACCCTTTCCTGATGACCTTGATGGATCAGCTAGCCTGCCACGGAGAGGGCCGTGTGGCAGGGAACAGAAGGCAGCCCTTAGGAGCAGGAAGCAGCCTCTGGTCAAAGGCCAGCAAGAAAACAGGAACCTCGGCCTACGACCCTGACGACCTGGACCCTGCTGAGCATGTGAACAAGCATGGGAGAGGCCCCCTGAGCTCCCGATGAGTGCAGCCCTCCCAGCCCTGCTGCACTCCCGACCAGACCAACGGAAACTGTGAGGTGGTGTGTGAAGCTGCTGACTTTGTGGTAACCTGTTACAATAGCAAACTAGTACACGATTTCTTCTTTGATGAGTGATGTAGGTCAGGTGCCCCAAAGCACACCCTGAGGCTAGGATCTGAGTGGAAGTTGATGAGGGCAGTGTCTGTCCTGGGAAGCGCTGGAAGTGCTGTAGGGAACAGAGCCAGGAAGGAGAAGGAAGCCAAGGGGCTGCCTCAGAACAGGTTACTGCTGCGGGTGGCAAGGGTTCAACCCAGGGGCATCTGTCAGAGACAAGGCAGAACTGCACTCTGCGTTGCCCCACCTGAGGGGACGGGAACTCGCTATTTAGCCTCCAATCTGTCAGTAAATGGGGCCTCCTTCCAAAGGGGTTTACCTTTCTGCACAAATGAGCCCTGGGGCAGGTCACAGTTTTTTTCAGTAAGAAGCCATCGGCAGGTCTGAGAAAAACCATGGCCAAAGGCACACAGTGGGTCCAACAGTGTCTGCTACAAAGAAGGTTGATGGGAAAGTCCTTGTATCTACTGACAGTGGCCTTCAGCCATTGGTCCTGCTGTGTCCCCTTAGCTGACACATCTGTCTTCTGCAGCTGCCATTCAGATTCCTGTCATTTTCATGCTGCAGCAGTGCTCTCCTCACTAGCTAACCATTTCCAGTCCCTCTCTGGACCCACCATAAAGCAGGATTTTAAATACTTTGTAATCTAGAGAGGCACTGGATTCAGAAATGAATGCAAAGGCCAAAGATGCTCTCACTCATTTAGTTCTTGTTTGAAGGCTGGGAAGATGCAGGTCTGATTATGTCACCACTGGAGAGCCTCATCACACTGGTGACTCACAGGAAGCTGTCCTGGTTCTTTGTGCAGCTGCTGCAAAACATTTCACTTTCCCCGCCCCTCTCCTCTTAGTGTATGGATGCTAGGCAAGGGCATGTCATCTGCTGGGTGAGCTCGGGCACCGTGAGCGCGCGGTACTGCTGGCTGCCCCGGCTGGTGAGGGGCGCGAAGCCGGGCATGAAGAAGTGCAGGCGCGGGAAGGGCACCATGTTCACCGCCAGCTTGCGCAGGTCTGCGTTCAGCTGGCCCGGGAAGCGCAGGCAGGTGGTGACCCCGCTCATGGTGGCCGACACCAGGTGGTTGAGGTCCCCGTAGGTGGGGGTGGTCAGCTTCAGGGTGCAGAAGCAGATGTCGTACAGGGCCTCGTTATCAATGGAGTAGGTTTCATCTGTGTTTTCCACCAGCTGGTGGACAGAGAGGGTGGCGTTGTAGGGCTCCACCACCGTGTCTGACACCTTGGGTGAGGGCATGACGCTGAAGGTGTTCATGATGCGGTCTGGGTACTCTTCCCGGATCTTGCTGATGAGCAGGGTGCCCATCCCGGACCCGGTGCCGCCCCCCAGAGAGTGGGTCAGCTGGAAGCCCTGGAGACAGTCACAGCTCTCTGACTCCTTCCTCACCACGTCCAGGACCGAGTCGACCAACTCGGCTCCCTCTGGCCCAGTTATTCCCAGCTCTGCTCTGGCCTGCCTAAAACATGTCATTTTGACCACGGAGGAGAAGGTAGGACTGGTCTTAGACTGGCAGATTCTTCTCTTTTGAATACTCTTCTTTTACCTAAAGAAATATTTTTCTTTTTCTTTTTTGTTTTTTTTTTTTGAGATGGAGTGGTGCTCTGTCCTCCAGGCTGGAGTGCAGCATTGCAATCTTGGCTTACTGCAACCTGTGCCTCCCAGGTTCAAGCAATTCTCCTGCCTCAGCCTCCCTAGTAGCTGGGATTACAGGCATCTGTGACCATGCCCAGCTAATTTTTATATTGTTAGTAGAGACAGGGTTTCACCATGTTGGCCAGGCTGGTCCCAAACTCCTGACCTCAGGTGATTTACCCACCTTGGCCTCCCAAAATGCTGGGATTACAGGCATGAGCCACCTCACCTGGCCGGAAATATTTTTGTATGTCAGTGACTCTCAAAAACACTCGGGATCATAATAAAGTTAGAAGTTTAGCAAATCTAAGGCCACTGATTGAGGAAGAGGATAGGGTTAGAAAACTTAATTGGTTCTGAAATACAT